CTCTTCCCTGTTATAACTTTTTCCAAACTTCTTTCTTATTTTCTTTTCCCCTCACCCAGTCCCAGTTTTTCTAGCTTTTCCGCTCACAGCTCACTCATTCTTTTTCTATCACGTCTTTATCTGTTTTGGTTCTCATTGTCCCGTCCATCTTTACTCCTCCTTCCATCCCATTCTCTCATACCTGTTGGTATGAAGTTTGCACATGCAGTACTGTACATCCAAACAGTGTTGATGTGAGGTGAATTGTGTTTGTGGCGTACATCTCAGCACAAACCATAAATTTTATCATCATGGTCATGTCTGTCAGAAACACTTAATTTCACAAATCTATTAGCAGGAACTGACAAATTTCTTTGCCTTCTCTTCCTCAGAAACAGTCCTCTGAAGTGGAGTCAGACATTCCCTCCATAAACCAGAGTCCCTAACGTCACTCATCCATTCCTCCGGAGTCTTCGTAGGGATACCGATTTTGACATCGCCACGGATTTCCGGGTGCTGTGAAAGCCCAGTTGCCTTCTGTGGACTTCTGGGTGCTCTGTCGCCATGGCTACCAACAGGGAACAGCAGGTGGGTCATATGACTGGCTTCCCACCTGCTGTCTACCCCTTTGCCTTCAACTCTAAAGCCACTCTCCTTTTGACCTGCTAGCCAACAGCAGCCTTTTTGGGAGATTTGGTGCCGACCTACCCAAAGAGATGGCTGCTCTGTGTAAGTCACTCTGATTACTGTTTGATTTTTCCTCCCTTTCATGTATCAGTTACAATTTCAACTGCATAATACCTATACATTCATTTTAGTCAAGTCAGATTAAACAATTTGGACGTGCAATGGAAAGAGGAAAAAATTGCTGTTTAAATTGCACTTTATTATGTGTAATTTTGTGGAAATGGAAAGCTTTAGAGTGATATAGGACGAGCGGTAGAAGAAATCCCCCCAAAAAAGCATAAGGAAAAAGTCCACTTCCATCAGTACAATGATTACTCTGCTCCTGCAGTTTCCTTATAGATGCTTGT